ACTTGTAGAAGTAGATGAAAAATTATCAAAGACGGACGTAACAATCACACCCAAAAAAATCACGGTAGTTATTCTGTTAGTGCTAGGGAACTATAGCAAAGAAACACTTTTAAATAAACCAGAGAAGAATTGACTGAATCTTCATTTTATGCCAGACTGGTAAAAGAACATACTCTTTACATCAGCACCAATACGCACAATGTGAAGAAGTTACCTGTCAGTATTCAATGTTCTGAAGAGAACACGACGTACACCCCTTGGAATATGTAGTGACTTCATAACCTCGGCTGAAATAAAGTTCAAACTCAAATTCAATTACAACTTTTGAGATTGATCACTGGAAAACTTCCACCCCACTCCGTAGTTGAGAGGGCCATTAGATTACACAATTTTTTAACAGAAAAGCTATATTTACCAAAAAAAATTATAGGCATATAGGGAAAAACATTGAACTCCATGAATGCCATAGATGCGATAGTTTCCATCTAGCCCAAAATTGGCAAAGTCCTCCTAAGTTGCCACACTATTTGACCCCTTTGTGCCACAGGTAACTAAAAACGACAAAAATAAAATGTCTTGAATAAGTTAAATCATTAGTTGTACCTACCAGTTATGTTTGCGTCTCTTGGAACGTCGACCAAAAGTGCAGGACCTACATACAGAAAGTCGGAAACAAGCTTATTAAATACCATTACCATTTTACTGATTTAAGACGGAAGATCATGCCACTCAACATTCTTATACACAGAGTAAGACAGTGGAAAGAGTACCTGGCCTTCACAAAGCCAAAATGGAATTTGATGTGAAGAAGTAATAATTATACGAATAGAAAACAACCAAAAAAAAAAGAGTGGAAATACAACCACTTTATTTATACATTTAGGTAATTGAGAGTGCAGTGAAAAATACACCACTTTCTCAGTTAACTTACAGCTTATACGCCCATCACTTAGTAGACTTCAAGTTCTTAAAACAAGTACCAGAGCTTTCCAACATGGAAGTGAAAGAAAGTTAGGATTTCAAGTTTGACGAAAGGTTGAGTTTCATTTTTTTATTTCATAATCTTTATACCAAAGAGGATGTATTTTCAGAACAAAAACAATATCGATAAGGTACTTGCCACAAAAACATCCAGTGGTAAACGCACAATAGAACCGCAGGCTTGGCGTACACGCCAGCTAAAATATTATACCGCAATTTGCCTCCCAAATTTGAAGCAAATTATAAAACTTCAGACAAACTTAACCAGCAAAAGTTAAAAGCTCAAAAAAATAAAAATAAAACGCGTAATATGAACATGGCCAGCATATATCAGAGTAAAAACTGAAAAGAAGTTCAATTGAGGAAGACAAGGGGATCAAAATCAAATCAACACCATCAAACAATCAAACAGAACATCACGATTATCACTCACCATTGAGGACTTCCAAATCGAGTGTGTCGACGTCAAACCCCGCATCGAAGTAGTGGTCGAAGACGTGCCCCGGTGCGTCAACATGGGTGCCTGTGTGAGTGGGGATCTTCATTTCGGAATTATTAGCAAGAGACCCGTTTTTCATGCTCTTTTGAAGCCAGAGGAAGTGGCCAAGGCCATCCTTAGACTCAAAAACTGGCATGTCGGGGACGTACTTGTGACTGATATCGAAGATTCGGCCACTGCCGTGAACTTCTCGACGAGGAGGGATAAGGACATCGTCGCCGCCGGCTAGTGAGCACTCACCAGAACCAGTACCTGGGGTAGTGGGGTAGGCTTCCGGGGTGGCAACGGCGGGACGGAGTGAGATTGCGAGGCTCAACGCGCTGACGAAGAAGAGGAGAGATGATCGTAGCGAGGAATCCATAGTGAGTGAAGCCGTGAGCAGAACAAAACAGGAAGGATTGCGAATAAGAAGAGAAACTGGGGTAAAATACTTTAGAATCGATGTTCGGGATTAGAATATTCTGTTGAGCGATAAGTCGATCCTCTGCATCAGAGATTACGATAACGAGCAATCGCAAACGGGACGGAACTCGGAGCTCGATTTGCTCTTAAAATAATCAGCGTATTATTCATAGATCACCAGATTTAGTTATTTATCCTAGATGATTTCTTAAGAATATTTTTATAGTCAGAAAAATTAATTACATGCCAAATTTTGAATAATGATGTGAACATTTATTAATTTCAAAATTTTTAAAAGCATGCCCCGAGAAGTTATATACTCCCTGATACTTTTTATAACAATCTGAAATTTGAATTGTTTAGTTTTTTTTTATAAGATTCCACTTATAACTATCTGGACATTTATTATATTTTATCATTTTTTAAGTTAATTTATATATTACATTAATTTAAAAATTTACTACATTTTCTTTCATACTTTCTCTCTCTTATTTAATGGTTTTGGAAAAAAACTTATTTCTTACATATTTATTATTTTTAATTATTTTTTTGAATTGTATTATTTAATTATCAGGCTCTTAAAGAAAAAATACGATTGAGCATATATAAACATGTTAGTTCTTTAAAAAATTATAGAATATGCTTAAAAACCTTCGTTTTTCACATGCTGACAACTTGAAAAGATCAAATATGTGTGCATATATTGACATGTGTTTTTTTTTTTTTTTTGAAAAGAATGCGTATGCTCAAATTAGTTGTCACTTCGTGAAATCTTTCTCTTGGCACAAAAGTTGGTGTGGATATAAGGATGTGCAAAGGGTTGGGCGCGGTTTAACCTGTAGCAACCTTTTATTGATGCAATGAGCCGTGAATCGCCGATACAATCAACGGTCTAGGTTGCTTCGACATGGAAAAACAAAAATTCCGCAAGATGCACGAAATTGTTCTCCTTCCGGCTAGGGGTGAGCAACAAACCCATTACCCGCTAGCCCGTCCATGACCCATGAAATTTTTGTCCATTTAAGCCCGTCCAATTAGCCCAAATAAGAGATTATAAATGGGCGGGCTTAAATGGGCAGGGTGGCCCATTAATAGGTTGGGCTATGGGCAAGGTATTGGACTGCCCATACCCGCCCGTTTAAGTTTTTAATTTTTAAAATATTTTATTCTTCATTTAATTGATGATATTGTTTCTCATTCATCTTTTATCAAACCTTCATGCTTGTCTAAGCTTTTATTTTATCCTTTAGGTGAAAGTTGGAACTTTCAAATTTATGAGACTTTATGATTGGTGACTTCTTTATGATTTTATCAGACTTTGATTGTTTGCGAATCTAAGTAAGGTTGTGTGATTGAATATGATTGATATTATTTCATATTTGATTTGCTATTTGGCATGCAAAATTTATTGCTAGCTTCATAAGGTTATATATACAAAATAACTATACTGAACAAAAATTTAAAAAAAATAAATGGGTTACCCCGTAACCCGGTTAGCCCAAACGGGCTGCCCCGTAACCCATTTAATACGGGCTAAATGGGCTATTACCGGGTTATGGGTTAGCCCATGCCCATTTATAAATAAATGGGTGGACTATGGGCTAACCTTCGGGTTAGCCCACCCCGCCCATTGCTTAGCCCTACTTCCCGCTCCCGCTCCCGTGAGAAGCCTGACCGAGCCGCCATTTGTAATTCTCATCTCATCCACATTATTTGTAGTATTTTTTTTTTACGAAACCCTTCACTAGCCTTGGCTCCCAATTCAAATAGATGCTTTCACTTGACCCAATAATTTTATATTTGCAAAAATACCCTAAAAAGTTAATTAATAAAATTTGCAAAAAAAAAAAAGGCCTATGTACAAAAATCAAATCAAATATTGTTTAAAAAATCACATTACATATAAATGTTTTATTTTGATAATTTTAATTTTAACATTACTCCTAAAATTATCACATTCTTTATATATGTGTTTAAACATAAATCAGATCCCACAAATTAAATTTTGTTCAATCCATTTTTTTACCGCTGATTCAAATACAGCCTTAGCTTTTTGATAATTCAATTAGTTGTTCCTCTTAGAACACGATAGGAAAAAGGAAAAGTACAGATGGAAATATGGGTTTGACCTCCTCAAACTTGCATGTTCCCCATTTATTTGATGAGAATGCATCGTATTGGTGATCCTTCAGCACCAACCAGCCTAAGAGGTAAGCAGTGGATTGAATATACTCCGGCTGGCACATCATCAAGCTTCAGGGCTTCCACCAGAATGATTTCCTGAAGCGTTCATACTTCTTAGTGCATGCCTCAAATAAATTCTCATTCTTTTCCAGTGAACATACTGTAACAAAATTGAACGCTTCCAAATCTCAGCTCAACTTTCATAAAACTATCCAATAATACATTGAGCCAGAAGACGTGATTTATGATCAGAAAGCTACAAACTAGATGTTATATTTAAATCGGAGGTAGTATTGCGCATTAGTAAACCATGACACATGCATTCTCAAATCTTAACCATAATGTTTACTCACCCTGCCTTCAAGAAAAGCTAGATGAGATGAAATCAAATCATCGTAAGCAGCAGCAGATAAATAATCGACACCTGCATTCCATTACAGAAAATGGAAGTGTAAACACAAGAGATGGTTATGCTCCATAGCTACACAGTAAAAAACCCCCCGTTTGCAGATAAAAACCCAGATACGGCATTTTAAATGGGAAGGGTCACAGATTCAGAATAATCTTCTGAAAGGCTAATTTTTTGCCGCCTCAGATTCCTCCATAGACCAGAAAAATTTTGTATCCAACATAAAGATAAGGCTACTTTAAGCCCATAGAGCCGCTTGATCATACAACTACTCAAAATTATGCTGGAACATCTCTCAACTAGAAAATAAAAGAAACTAAATGGTGTTCTCTCATTTATATGCAAAAACATGATTGAATGTTTATCTAAACTGGCATGAGATCCATGAAACACCTGTATTGTCACAGCGGAAAAAGAATGTCGAGATGTCCATCTGTTCAAAGTTATATTGACCTGGTTATTCAATGAGGACAAAACGGCAGAGAAGATGCCCTCGGGAAATACACTGAACCTAAAAGTAAAAATTTATATCTTGCCTGTGAGTTTGATGTCAGTGTTCTCTGCAAGCCATTTTGCTCCGTCCACCATGAATCCCCCATAGCTTGCGTCGAATTCCTTTTGAAACATCAGCCGCCTACAAATATAGTATGTTTAATTCACATATAGCTTTTAGATCATGGTAGTTCTTCTGTTAGTACTATGGAAGTATAGCAAAGAAGCACTTCTAAATAAACCAAAAGGGAATTGACTGAGTCTTCGTTTTATGCCAGACTGGTAAAAGAATATACTCCTTACATCAGCACCAATACAGACAATTTGCAGAAGTTTACCTGTCAGTATTCAATGTTCTGAAGAGCACACGACGTACACCCCTTGGAATATTTAATGACTTCATAACTTCGGCTGAAATAAAGTTCATACTCAAATTCAATTCCATCCACTCCATAGTTGAGAGGGCCATTAAGTTACACACAATTCTTGAACAGAAAAGCTATATTTATCCAAAAAAATTTATAGGCATATAGGGAGAGAGAGTGAACTCCATGAATGCCATAGACACGATAGTTTCCATCTAAGCCCAAAATTGGCAAAGTCCTCCTAAGTGGCCACACTTTTGACCCCTCTGTACCGCAAGTAACTAGCAACGACAAAAATAATACGTCTTGAATGAGTTAAATCATTAGTTACACATACCAGTTATGTTTGAATCTCTTGGAACATCGACCAAAAGTGCAGGACCTACATACAGAAAGTCAGAGACAAGCTTATTAATTACAATAGCAATTTTACTGATTTAACATGAACGATGATGCCACTAAAGAGAATAATGAAAAGAAAAACATCCCCTGGTAAATGCACAATAGACAGAACCGTAGGCTCGGGATGCCCCAGCAAAAATATTACTCCTCCAGTCCTTAATATAGAACCCAATTCTTGAGTTGGTTTTGGTCCTAAATATAAGAGCCATTTCTCATATTTATCAATTTTCTCTAAATTACCCCTATGAATACTCCCTCAACCATAATCAAATAAAAGAGGGAGAGGGGGTATTAAGAAAGATGATTATGGTGTTTTAGAAAAAATGTCACTTTTCTTATATAACTAACTTACCTAACTTCCTTAATCTAATCAAATTAGTTGAATGGGTCTTATATTAAGGACCGGAGGAGTATTACATAGTAGCACTTAATATATAAATTAGTTTACTAATTTGAGTAGATTGAGAAAATTTGTTGAGTTAGTTCTTCATAATAAATAGGTGGTATCTTTTCTAAAATACCCTTACTAATCATATATATTAGTTAGAACTACTATTTGATAAAATATTTATAGGTGCAACTATTAGAAGGATTATTTTGAGCAAAATGTATAAGATCTGAGAGAGACAAAATAAATTAAGATGTTATATTTAAAACCACATTGAATATTAAACTAGTTCTTATATTAAGAGTCGGCATAATATACCACAATTTGCCTTACAAATTTCAAGCAGTTATAAAAGTTCGGACAAACTCAACCAGCGAAAGGCAAAGCTCAAAATAAAATAAAATGCATAAGATGAACATGACCAGCAAATATGAGACTAAAAACTGAAAAGAAGTTCAGTGGAGGAAGACAAGGGGACCAAAATCAAATCAACAGCATCAAACAATCAAACAGAAACATCACGATTAGTACTCACCATTGAGGACTTCCAAATCAAGTGTATCGACGTCAAACCCCGCATCGAAGTAGTGGTCGAAGAAGTGACCCGGAGCGTCAACATGGGTTCCTGTGTGAGTGAGGAACTTCATTTCTGAGATATTAGCAAAAGACCCGTTTTTCATGCTCGTTTGAAGCCAGAGGAAGTGGCCAAGGCCATCCTTAGACTCAAAAACGGGCATGTCGGGGACATACTTGTGACTGATATCGAAGATTCGGCCATTGCCGTGAACTTCTCGACGAGGAGGCGTGAGGACATCGTCGCCGCCCCCTAGCAAGCATTCGCCAGAACCAGCAGCGGGAGTGGTTGGGTAGGCTGCGGTGGTGGCAACGGCGGGATGGAGTAGTGAGATTGCGAGGCTCAACAGGCCAATAAAGAAGAGCAGAGATTATCTTAGCAAGAAATCCATAGTGAACGAAGGTGTGAGCAGAGCAAAACAAGAAGGAACATAAACAAAAAGAGATAACAGTGCTAAAACATATGATTTTATGCCTCAGGACATGTTAAGAATTTGAATATACAAGTGGGAATGGTTGGCAATATATATATATATATATATATATAGGCATGAATGTATACTATAGGTGCGTAATAAAATATCTCTATCCATATGTGCGTGTTAAATGTTGATATATATGTCAGGATACTGATTTTTTTTTTTGACCGAAATGTCAGGATACTGATGAAGCTAAATGGATTCTGGGTTTTGATAATTTAAATGCCTCCATTTGTTATACGTAATGGATGACGTTGCCACATGTGCTCGAGCGAGTTGGATTTTGATTCTTTAGAATTGTTTATATGGCTCATAACCAAACACCCAGATCACGTGGCTTATGTATCCTTCCGTTAGCCCCGAATTTAAACACCAAGACCACATTATTTGTATTTATTATGGAACCCATTCATTTTTATTTATCCATATTTTCGAGGGGGATCACAGGTCTTCCGAGTTCCGAAAAGAAAATTCTCTTAAATCGTGGAGACTGGAGAGAGCTTTTAAGGGTCTGTGATGGATTTTGATGAGACATTGGCCCTAAGAATGTGATTCACTTGACCTGCCTTGGTTCCAAATTCCAATAGATGCCAACCACAGCGTCGCGCTGAGGACGATTGTATGTTTGCAAGGTTGGAATCAACTTGGCATCACAGCCACAACATGATTAGGTTTGTATAAATTGACTATGAAGATGACGTGTATACGGCAAGGTAATACTGCCTCTCATCCTAATTATAAGAGCTAATTAACTAATTTGAAGAGATTAAAGAAATAAGTTAAATTAGTTATTTGTAATAACTATATATTATCTTTTTTAAATATTTTTACTAATCAAGTGTATTGGCTAGAACTACTATTATTAGAAAGACTATTTGGAAAAAATATATATATAAATATGAAAGATAAAATGAATTGACGTCTTATATTTAAGACCAAAATAAAAATCAAATAAAATCTTATATTAATGACTGAAGATAGTATAACCGGCGAGCGAGTTGATGTGGAATGGGTTATTGGGTTTAGCACGTATATTATTTTGGACTTTTCAGGTCCAAGAACAAAATTAGTTTTTTTGTACCAATAGTTTTGACTTCTTACAACTCCACTCCTTAACTTCAATTTAGTGCAACTCATTTATCCCTTAAACTTTAATTCAGCTAGGAACCATTTAAAATTTTAGTTCACATCCTAAATTTTTCAAAGGTTAGGTTGTATGTAATCAAAGTTCAGTTCAGGGACTCAATTACAAATGAACTTAAATTGAAAGATTAAGTTGTGCTAAATTAAAGTTCAGATGTTAACTTGCAACAAAGTCAAGAGTATAAGAATCAGAAGGTTAATTTTCTCAAAAAGATTCCGGTTCCAAGTGAAACCAACCATTTTAGGGAAGAAGCAGAGCAGAAGCACGTGTTTAGGCCTTTCGGAGGCTAAAGGACAATGCATTTCTTGAATTTGATTATGCTCAAACAAAGGCCGGTAACCGGGAACATAATCTCACCACAGAATTATAAATACTTACGCACTATTTGCTAGGAGGGTTTTTGAGGGGAGGAGAAGAGAGGGATGGAGAGATTGTGTTTGGTTCAGAAAAATGAAGAGGGAGAAGAAAATTTTTTGTCTTTTAGTACTTCTCTCCCCTCCTTTTGTTTCCTTCTAAATTTAGAGTTTTTTAGAAAGGAAATACTGACTAAATTATCCATGTTAGTTTTTTAATATTTCAAATTTATCTTTTTTAGTACAATTTTTTTTACTTTTTGCTTTTTTTTATTTTTTTCTTTTTAGCCCCTACTATTCTTTTACGAATTTTTTTTTTACTTCTCAGAGGTTCTTTTTTTTTTTTGCATATTTTCTTTCTTTGATTTCATCATTTCTCACGCTCTCTGTCATTAATTTTCCACATCTTTTTCTTTTGTCTGATCCTCCGTCTCATTCATCTTATCAGTATTATCAATATTATTTATTTATTATGTATAAATATATTCTTTATTGGTTTATATGAGTTGAAGTCATTGAAATCTTCAGTTTATAGAAGTATCTTTCATGGTTCAAAAAAAAAAAAGTCGTTGAGATCTTCCCATACTCTCTGCCATTAATCTTCCAAATTCATTGATATGCGTGTCCATATATACGTATTTTAATTCAATTTCATTTTTTATGCAAAACTCTGTATTATCTAATTAAGTATGTGAAGTTGCGTACATTATATAATTAAGAATGAAATAGTTCAAAACTTGTATTATAAGTTTATTGTTAATTGATATAATATGCTAAAGATTTTTTTTTATTGACATTCATTTTGATGTATAATCATTTATAATTTATTTGTGATGTCTCAGGGTATCTGGTTTTTTAATATTCACAAATTAAAAAATAATAATTATGATATAAATATCATCATAAAATAATAATAATAATCTAAATAAAGAGGCGAGAATATATTTGTCAATTATAATTAGTTCCTTTCCCTTCTCTTCCTAAACCAAATAAGAAATATGCCCTCCACTCTCTTTCCCTCCAACCAAACAAAACTCATCCCCTCCCCTCCCCTCCCCTCCCCTCAATTCACCTCCCCTCCCTTCCCCTTCATTCAATCAAACAAAGCCTTAATCATTTAAGTTGCAGTTGTGTCAAATTTAAGGAAAAATCACATATAAATAACACTTGAATTCTAAAATTCCAGATTAGTCATTCTAATTTCACAAAAAACAAATAGGTCTATAGGTATTAAGTTGAGATTTACAAATTTTAGCAAATTACTTTAATGCCCTTTCTCTCATCCTTGTTTGTTGTCTCTCTTACTTCATATTCAGAGAGCTCTTCTCTCTCTTCAGGTCCTCTTCTTCTTTGAAGGGCGTCGAACTGAAAGGCTAGGCATGAATTGTCAAAGGATTCGATGAAAAAGAAGAAGATGTGGTCTCTCCTACAGCGTTCTGATATGTTCCTAATGAATATTTATGATGTTTGGGGTTTGAGACTTGGCACCTCCCGTCTTTCATCTTCCCTTCTCAATCTCATCACCAAACCCATGAGAGAGAGAGAGAGAGAAATCAGTAAAATTTAGAGAATAAGTAGAGAAAAAACAAGGGAGATCGAGAGAGAGAGAGGAAGAAGAAGCACCCATAGAACTAGGGTATTTTTATGCAAGGTTTGAGAGTATATTGATTACCTTTCTACTATCTTCTAATAAAGTTTATTTTTAATATCTGCTAATTTGTTAGAAGGAGAGCCAAGCAAATAAGTGAAGAGTGGATGCATATTGTTTCAAAAAGAATTTCCCGGGGTCAATGAAGAAGTTTAAGAAGAGTGTTGTATACACAAATGTATTATCTAACTATTGTTATAATATTTGACTTGTGATTGTAGATAAAATTTGTTTAAAAAAATATATTTAATCACTATTATTGCACATTTATTGATAACAAGTGCAAATTATGTTTACCTTTAGGTGTCATTATAATAAATGTAGCTTTTAACAACATTTGCGAAGTGATTGATAACTTTCAAAATGAATATATCAATTTCCATAATATGTTTTACAATCTCTTTATTTGTAACCATTTTTAATCTATTTGCACACAATTTTACTAAACATATAATGAGAATAAGAACTTGTGAAATAAAAATGACTATTTGCATAAAGAATTTTACAATTTGTTATAACCTATTTGCAAACAGTTTTACAAAACCAGTAAAATGAATCACAACTTAGATAATGAAAGTTGTTATTTGCATTAGGGGATTTATAACTTGTTTATTTGTGACTATTTTTAATTCTTTTACCCACAATTTTACTAAATATATAACGAGAATAACAACTTATGAAATGAAAGTGATTATTTACGTAATGAGTTTTGCAACTTATTTTAATCAACGTGTTAGTATGTGAAAATATTCAACTGCCTTTTCTTTTTCTTACTCTAGGGGTGTATTAGTCATTCTATCAAAGTCTACGAATCCGAAATTCATATCTCATGCCTATTTGGTCATTTCATTTATTTGGATCACCTTTTTTTGTTCTTTTTCAATTTCAGTGAGGTTTTTTTGGGTCATTTTCTCAATTTTTAATCCTTAATTCAGACTAAAAAAAATGAGGAGTCTCTATTTTGTAATTTAGATGTATATATACTATTTATGGTCCTTAATGAAAAATCTCATTTGATTTTTGTTTTGTTTTAAATATAAAACCCAATTCACTTTATCTTTTATATTATTCATTTTTTAAGGTAGTCATTCTAATAATGACAATTCTAACCAATAAACTTGATTAGCAAGGATATTTTAGGAAAGACAACACCAACTAATTTAATTTATTTTTTTAATCTATTTAAATTAATTAAATAACTTTTATATTTAGGATTAGAGGTTGTATTTAAAAGATGAAGAACATCAGGTCGTGATGATTAAGAAATAATGACATACAACAGAAAAGGGTAGTTGGGTTGTCCGTTTGCTATTTTGGGCCCGAAGTGGTAATGACGGCAAGTAGGGCCTTGCCGACAAAGGAGCTGCTTTTAATCTATACGGACCTCTAAATTGTGGTTCTCCATGTTTTACCACCCCACCAATCCGTGTCCTTCCCTCCTTCCCGCTTTCTTTACCCTTTACTTGTGATCCTTCTCTATAATCGAAAGCTTTTTTTTAAAAAAAAAAACACACACACACACACACAAAATCATATTATTGATAATTTGCAAATATTTATTATATTTATGTCATTATCTAATCCCAACACACTATTATTCAATGCACCTTTAAAAAATTTTAACCGTGAAAATTATTTTGGATCCAATTTTACCTTTTTCCATTTAGATGCTATAAGAGAAATTGTTGTTACAATCTTCAAAGATTAAATTCTTTCGTAAATTAATTAACTTTTTTCTTCATAAACTTATATGATCATCACAGTTATGATTTCTATAATTAAAACCTCTAGTCCTTTCATATTGGGTTTGTTTTTAAGGGGATTTGGATCCTTTCCATACTCTTTCTCTCCACTTCTAATTCATACTAAATCCTATTCGTTCATTCTGGCGATTCATTTAGTTACTGCTATCATAAGGAAGCATTATAATCTCACTTTCAAAGGCATTTAAGTGATCCTAAAATCCGAATATATATATCTGCCAACAATCCTAATAATAAATATATGATATTTAAATCAAATGAACAGTTAAATAAATGAGTAAGATTAATTAAGTATAAATAAAGAGTATGGATAGATTGTAAATCCCTCGGATGTTGATGGTTTAATTTGTTCTGGTTTTTGTGCTTCCAGTTTCGTTCAAACGTGTTTATCCTTTCGCTAAGGGGGGAAATCTTTGCATGCTGGAACGGAGCTGGGAGGTCCGGGTCACCTGGTACAGGAGAGAAGCCAACCAAATTGCTGATCGTCTTGCTCGAAAAGCTCTGAATTGTGCTAGCGGAGTTGCTTGTTTTTCTAGTATTCCTCACTTCATTTCGGAACTGGTTGACAGCGATAATTATGCTGCCTGTAAAACTTACCTAATCTTGCGCATGCTTTATATAAAAAAAAAAAAAAGAAAGAAAGAAAGGAAGAAGCAGAAATCTCACATTAATTAATTACTTAAATATTCAATAATTCCAAAATCACAAAACTACCCCTTGTCTGTGGGCTCAGGCAAAGGCATCGGACTCTCTCATCAGAAAGAAGGGGTTTGATCTTGAGGAGTGTCACTTTGTTGTGGTTGCAATCACGACGTTAGGAGAGATATCACCAGAGTATAATAAAGCAGGAAAACTCCTACCTATTGGGTCAGGAAAAAAAAGAGCCTTGCTTGTCATGTTCTCATAGAGATAGGTCCTAGTAGGTGAGTCTAATTTTTTTTCTAGAATTTCTCTTACCAAAAAACTGAATATAAAATGCTGTGGGAACACCGGCCGAATCAGCCTGATACCGATGACAAAACTGGAAGCCAAGTCTGAAACACTTGAATATTAATGCAACTGCGTGGGGCTGCCCGAGACACCCATTATCGTGATTTACAAAGGTCTCTTATTAATCACGTCAAACGCCCCTTAATCCTATTAATAATTCAGCAAAGAATACAAAAGTGGTAATCTTTTTATTATTATTTTAAATCAACGCAAGGAGACGCCATGAATCAAGATCATGGTCTTCCTCGGTAAACTTTCTTGCAAACAGAGATCGGTTTCTGGGCAGGCGTGCACAGCTGTGAATTTGCCGGGCAGCTCTGCAGACAATTATCACCCAAGCTGCCGGAAAGCACTGCACCGCCGTTGCCGGTGAAGAACCCAGCCGGCGGCTTCCCGATCAGGAAGTTCCCGTCCAAGAACAACCTCCTCATGGATTTGCTCTGACTGTACTCCAATGGGATCCTGCCACGTAACGAGTTGTACCGAGTGACAAAAACGACAACACAGGATACGCGGCGAAGTTGGCGGGCGCGTAACCTTGGATCTTGTTAAACCCCAAATTAACCGCCACGAGATCACTGTTACCTCCGACCGGTCTCGAGGTCTCGAGGCCGGTAAAGCTATTGTTCGCCAAATCAACTTGCTGAAGCGAAGGTAATTGAAAGAACCAAGCCTCAATTTTGCCGGCGAGTGCGTTCTCGCTGAGCTCAACCACCTCCAATTGGTTTAGTTTTCGAACGTAAATTTATTCAGAGAGCCAGATAATGAATTCCCCTTCATCGCGAGTTCGATCAGGTTCGGCGGAAGCAACTTCGGGAGAGGCCCAGTTAGCTTGTTGAAACTCACGTCCATTCTTCTCAAGCCAGCAAGAGAAGCCATTGCACTTGGGAGGGACCCAGAGAAGGAGTTATGAGAGAGGTCGAGACTCTCGAGCGACTTAAGGTTAATTATGGAAGGAGGGATAGAGCCAGAGAAGGAATTGGATCGGAGAGATAAGGATTGGAGGGTGGTCAGGGAGGAGAGAGACGGTGGGATTTGGCCGGAGAAAGAGTTGTCAGAGAGGTCCAAGGTGGTGAGTGGGTGAGCTGGGAGATAAGAGGGGAGAGTGAACCAGAGTAGCCGGCGGGGTCGAGGGTGATTTGTGTGACGCGGGTGGAGTCGGGAGAGCAAGTGAGGCCGCAGACGAAGGAGGTCCGGCGAGGGAGAGAGCAAGGATCAACAGCGAAGTTCCAGGAAGCTAAGCAAGACGACGGAGGGATAGAAGACGGAATAACGGAGGCTTTGAAGGCTTTGAGAGCTTGAGTGTCTGAGGGTAAAGTGCGTGCTTGAAACAGAGGAAGG